TTCCCTTTCATCTTTCTTGTCTTTATCTCGCTGAATCCCGGAGCAGTTTATGGGCTGGCTCTGTTGTAATAGCATGACTGATCAATAACACGCAGGTCCCTCAAGCGTGAAGCTTTTACCTTTTCTCTTCTTTAGTACGGAAAAGAGCAGCTCTACATCGTTTGAGGCCGGGAAATGAACTATTCGATATCCAACAGAAAGAAGAGTGTGCTTACAGAAACTGAGATTGCTGCAGGAAGCAGTGATAAATCTCTCTTTCCTGCTTGCCCAGAATCCGAAAAAGCGATTTTGATTGTTTCGATTTCGATGATCTGTAGTTTTCTAAAGAAAAAATGTTGTAGCACTTGATAAACAGTTTGGGTGCCATGGCTAAGTACACTGAGCTGGAATCTGGGGGTCCAAATGTGGTTTTATCTCCTGGATCAGCAGTATGATTAGCTTAGAACAGGGGGAGACAAGTTTTGAAGTGATGGGGAGAAGGGGAAAGAACAATGATTAATGCAATTAGAAGGCACTGCTGTATCGGTTATTCTTATTTCTTAAAGCCAAAACCCTGCCAGTACTGCAACATTATAGCAGCATTTATTGGAAACAAGTGCCAGCGCTGCACAAACTCGGAAAAGAAGTACGGACCTCCGCACGCGTGCGAGCAGTGCAAGCAGCAGTGTGCGTTTGACCGGAAGGATGACAGAAAGAAGGTCAGTATCGCTGCTAAAGGGGGCTGAAAAGGTAAAAGGGCTGATCAGGAGGATGGCCTGTCCATCTCCTTCGTGTGTTTTCTAGCATTTCAAAAGAGAGTGGTTATAAAGCCTTTTTCTGGAGTTGAGCCTCGCTGTGGGAGCTGTGTTTTGGAGATGTTTACTCTTTGAGCCCCTCTACTCCTTCGGCAGATCTGCTGAGAAGGATCTCTTGAATTTGGCCTAAGGGCAGTTGTAAGCTGGCAAAGGAGAGGGGGCCTCCGAGTGAGATGCGAGGTTCCTGCTCGGGGAGAGGGACTGGGACCAATGTTTGTACCGTAGCCAGAGGAGCTGGAGTGGTCATACCTCCACCTGGAATCCCATTCCGTGGCTTCTGCATACACTTTGCTTGAACAGCAGGAGTGTTCCTCAGGCTGTCTGCATCACACCAGCCCTGCCTGATACTCTTCTCGCCCTTCTCAAGGGATCCTTCTTGAGTCACTGCTTGTTGAGATGTGATCTTGCCTTCTCTGCGTTTGCTCTGAGGGCAGGAAAACAAGACCAAAACTTCTTCCCCCTCTCACCTCCCAGGTGGATGGAAAGCTGCTGTGCTGGCTGTGCACGCTCTCCTACAAACGGGTCCTGCAGAAGACCAAAGAGCAGTGCAAGCACCTGAGCAGCTCTTCCCGGGCCAGCCTGCAGGAGAAGGAGCAGTACAGTCGGCTCAGCAGTGGCAGCCACTACAACAGGTAACGTGCACGAGCTTTTTTCTGGTGTGCGGGGTGAGCTTGCCTCTGGGGTGAGCAAACAGGGTGCCCCGGCTGGTCCGTGTTCCTCAGGTGCGCTTCCTAAAGTAACTGGGAGAAGCGCCGGCGGGCTCGGTGCCTTGGTGATGGGTTTTGGCAGTTGGCTGTTGTTCAGGAGAGTCTGGTTAAGTCAGGCTTTGCTAGTTTGAAAATCTCGCTGTGCTGGAGTTGACTTGCAGTCCGACAGTGCTTCTTAGGGGATTCAACTTAGTGAACTTGTACACAATTAAAGCTCAACTGCATTTGTAAAATGTAATGATTGAAATATAGAGCTCTTCACCTACCTACTGATCTGACTGACACATTGTTTTCTGTTTATTTTTAGTCTCCAGCTACACTTCAAGGAGTGTTTTTTTTTTATTATCGTTCCTTCTTGCGCTAGGAAATACTCTTTTAATAGGTTTGAAGTGGGTGGGAATATTTATCTGCTTCTCTGTCTTAGGCTGCAAGTCATTCAGGTTTTGACACACAATTTCCTTGTTCTTCTAGCCAGAAAACCTTATCCACCTCTTCGATTCAGAATGAAATCCCAAAGAAGAAAGCCAAGTTTGATGCCATATCTGCCAATGGTGACAGGTGAGCCCGTTACGTGGGGAAATTGTGGGTGGGCAATCTCGTTTGGAAGTTTCTATAAGACAGAGTTCTGCTCAGATAGTGGGAATCTGTAAAGCAGGGATCTTGAGCTTTGGGACCTCGAAGGGCTGCGTTATCAGCTTTTCAGAACCTGGCAGGCCAACATTACTTGGCATTTAGACATAGGTTTGAAGAGGAAAAGAATACCTAGCACCCGTACCTGCTAGAATAGACACTGCTTGTTGGTTGAGCTCCCCAACAGGCAGAAAAAATCGCAGCCAGGTCAACTTTATCCTCTCTCTACCGTTACAGGGCGGGTTGTTGGCTCTGCTGCAGAGTTGAGGTCCTCAGGTTTTGTGCTCTTGGGGCTGTCAGGCTGATCCGTGGGGAGGCGGCCTCAGAGGAGAGGATCAAGACCCACCTCTGGTTTCCCCTCCTGCCTTCTGGCGGAGGTACAAGCGAACAAACAGCTTTGCTTGAAAGTACCTGCTCCCGTTCTGCTGTCACAGTTTGTGCTGGATTATGTTAACGCCGGCTGCGTGCGCAGCAGGATGGGAATCACTAGTGGAAACGGGAGATTGAGATGGATTTTTAGGTTTTTTACAGTCTTGTACATGCATATTTTCATTCCTGCCTTTCCTCTCTGATTCTCAGCGTTCCTTCCTCTCCTGAGATGCTTTGTCCCCCTACCCAGAGCGCCCCTTCCACGCTGGCGCAGTGGGCTGCTTCCCAGCAGAGTCTCGGTGCCCACCATTGTCCTGTTTCTCAAGGCACTGACATCCTGAAGTGAGATCACCCGTTGTTTTCTCCCCCGTTGCCCTCCCTCCTTCCCTGGGAACTGCCTTACACGTGGAAACTCTCCCTCTTGATGGATCTCTTCCCAAACAGCAGTGAATTGGGATCAAGGACCAGAGTGTAGGCTCGTTAGTGCCAAAGGGTCTGTTAAAGCCACTGGTAATTAATTCACTGCCTTGAATGTCTTTTCTTGGAGATCACAGATCATGCCTCCCTTACAGATACTATTGACACCTTGTCAATGTTTGTTAATATGTGAAATGCTGCGATGGGAGGCAGAACTGAAATAGTTTTGTAGGGCTGTGGTTCCCACAGAGTGGTCTGTGAGACCAGTTATCATCTGAATAGCGTTTACAGTTCAAAGCTTGAAAAATGTAAGGATTAACTGTAGCTTGGAGCAGTCAGAGGAGTCCTCTGCCCACTTTTGGAGCCGGAGGAGGGACTGGAGACAAGTCTCTGGCACAACTGGTGCAGCCCAGCAGTACCAGTACTGGTATTGCTACAGCTTTGCCTCCCGAGAGGCTGCTGCTCACCTACTGAGGCTGCTCACCAGGCTCTAGGACAACACCCAGTATTTTTATCTGCTAACTAAAGCCTGGGCTCAGACCTAACATCTCACTGCCATACCCCCGCTGGCTTGAAAATATCCAAGAAGGAAAAGGTCTCGTGCCCTGGCATCGATTGCTCAGACATTCGGTTGCAAAACAGGAGCCTGTATTAGAGGAATTAAATGCTTTCCCTTTGCTCCTGGGTCAAATGTTGTCAGTCTGGCTCCTGCCAAGGGTGTGATCCTTGTCGCAGACTTTTTTTGATGAATCCCAGTAAGTTTAGCAGCTACTGAAGAGCTCCGGCGACGTGCCGTAGAAAAGGCAAGCTGGGGCTGCCTTAAACAGACACGTAGCTGTGTTTCTGGAGTGGAATAATAACGGTGGTTCATTAAGTGTGGTTTTGGAGTTGCTGGGCTGTTGGGTTTTTTTGGTTTTGTGAGGATGAACCCCTTAAAACTCTCCCCTCTTGCACCATTTTCTGTTAGATTGTCTCCCCCCCAGAGTCCGCCTGGAGCCTGGGTCACAGCCTGAGTGTGGAGTTGGGGTCTGTTGCAGCACGAGGGTATTTTCAGCAGCAGCACGGGGTGAGGCCCAGCTGCCGAGACCAGCCCCACCTTTCTGTCCAGCGTGTCTCGGCTCCAGCCCAACTTCTGCTGCATTCTTCAGCTGGGCAAAATTTGGGCGTGCTTGAGCTCTCTCAGCTTCGCCACCACCTCCAACAGGGCCCAGCTCATCTGAAACCACTGCTCCTTTTTGGGTGCAGTAGGAATCCCTGTGCTGTGTCTTCCCGAGTTCCCTCCGCACGTGGGTTTCTTTACCTGTTTTGGCGCGGATGTCGCTCCTGATGGCTGCAATATTGGCAGCGAGCGATTTCCAGGGGTTGTTTGGTGGGTGGTGTCAAACGGTTCGTTCCGGGTGAGCTACCCTCCAGCTCAGCCCTGATTCAGGAGGTGTTTGATGTCCCCATCCTCTTGTGCAAACGCTGCCAGAAGTGTTTTTTTATGTTACAGGCTCTGTAGATGAGCACGCTGCCGTCCCTTCTCCTGGGACTGTAGGCAAGGTGCTAATTTGGGCTTTTAACACCAGGCAGAGATGCTGAGCAGCAAAGTTCATTGAGTCAGAAAGACTATTTGCGTAGAAAAGTCCTGGCATATGCTTAAAGGGGCCGGGGTACCGGGACTTGGGCTGAACTGCCGCTGATTTTGGTGGTCTTAGAGGCAGCCTAAGTTCAGATCCTGTTGGCCCAGGTGGGTTTTGCACACAGGGGATGGTTTTTTCTTGAGGTGGAGCTCAGATGCTGGTTTGGTCAGCCTGGTCTTTATGCTAGCCTGACTTGAATGGCAAAACCTTTGAAGCTTGGCATTTGTTTTGGCTAATTTCAGCCATTTAACAGGTGTGGAGTTTAAGGCAGTCATTTTGGTTTCTTTTCCACTCAACAGAGAGACGCAGGTGTCTTTGGAAGAGCTCCATTTTTGCCTCTGTCTCCACTGAAAGCATCGGGAGCTCCTCAGTTCCCTTTAATCAGAGGCTGTGGTTTAGACTGTGCAAACACGGAGAGCACACGTCTGCCCCCTGCCCTATCCCAAGGGACCGGGATCCTGGATGTGGAGTTTATTTGTAGGGGAAATGGCTTTTTGTTTGTTTGTTTGTTTCAATTTTTTGTTCTCATTCTTAACGTGTTTGTTAAAGGAACGGAGCGACTTGTATTTGTCAGTTTTCCTTCTCGTTTTGGAGTCTCAGGCTGTTTCCTCAATGCGGGGTTAAGGACAGAGAAACCTTTCATTACTGACTTGTCAATCTTTTAAAAAGCTGCTTCTTTAATTAGCACCTTGACACATTCAAGGGGGCGTTTCACAGCAACGGGACAGGACGACACCTGCCTGCGCTCATGCCCTTGGCGAGAGGGGACGTCTGGGCACCCTGAGCCCCCCGATACCCGCAGTGGGTGCAGACCCCAGGGGCAGCAGGAGGCCCTGGCAGCCCTGCGGTCAGGTCTGGCTCTGTGGAAGGCTGGTGGCCCTCCCGTCCCTTCTCCCCCCTGGGTGGCCGGACCTGGGTGCGGCTCTGCGGGCTTTGACCGGAGCTGCCAAAGAGGGAATTTTTCCTGCTGGAGCCGCTCAGGGAAACCTGAGCACCTCCCAGGGAAATGTGAGCACCTCCCGGCACTCTTTATTGCCCCAGGATATGGCAGGAGAGAAGCTTGCCCAGGCAAAGGGATGGTGCAAGCAAGACTTTGTCTTTAGCCAGAGGGAATCAGTGAGGAAGCCTTTTTTTTTTCTTTTTTCTCTGCGGAGGCTGCCTTTTTTCCCCTTCTTTCTTTCTTTACTCCCCAGCATATTTGCACTGAGTGGGGAATTAAAGCTACTGCTGGTAAGGTGCCTGCGCGCCGAAAGGTGCTGGAGCACCCACCGTCATCTCGCACAGCCTCCGCTTCCCGAAACTGTGGTCGGGAACTGTTCTAAAATGGAGATATTCTCCACGTGTGGGAACACTTTCTGCACTCGGGAGCTGCCCAGAGACCCGTGGTACGGTGTGGGCTCTGCTTTTGGTGTGTTTTATCCACGCGAGGCTCTTCCACCGAGGGCTGCCTCAGTTTTGAGGTCTCCCTTACCAAGCTTTCTTTCCCCAGTGCCGCAGAACAATCCGGTGACTTTCAGACCTGTGAAGCTGCCTCTGCTTCGTGTCGCTCTGCAGATCCCCAGCACGACGGTGGAAAAGAGGCTTTTTTTTTTTTTCCTGCCGCATCCTTGCTAAGCAGCCAGATCAATGCAGGCTGTGCTTTTAATTAGAGAATGGATTATTTCCCTGCACTGGAGGGGACCGGTGAGCAGCCGGTCCTCTCTGCCTCACTGCACAGAGGGGAACTGAAAGCACAGAGGTGGCAGCAGATGAGCACCGAGACAAGCAGCTATTTGGGGTCAGACCATGCTTTCCCCAGGCTGTCGCAGCTCCCTAAAGCTGCAGGTTTTAGGACATGTATTGATCTACTCTGGAGGCTTTGAGATAAAGAAGAAAAAAAAAAAAAGCCAGGCTTCAGGTAACCCTGGCTATTTATCTTTAGAATGGCAGCGCTGTCTGATAACGGGCAGACTTAGGGTAATCTTGTAGATGAAGCTTTGTTGCCTTTATTACTGTTAAATTTTTATCCGGCAATTTCAGGCGCGCGCGGCTGGGAGTTTGGTGCCCTTTTAGCACTGAGAGATAAAAAACAGGCTGAGCATTGCAGCGGTGAGCAACAGACAAAGGCAGGCAGAGATCAGGTGAGCTCCCTGGGCCTGTGGCTGCAGCTCATCCTATCTTCTGATCTCAAATATTCCTGCAGTGCAAGACTGTGCGTGGCTGCCCAGATCGCTGGCTGTCTCGTAGGGGGATTTGTGAGTTCCCGGTGAAGGGGAGTGACTGGCGCCCGGATAAGTTTTCACCTGGCTGCTTAGGGTTAGAGTAGCTGGTGGTGTACACGCGATGAACTCAGCTGTTCCTCTGTCACCCTGGAGAGACTCTGTCCTGTTCTGAAGTGGTAATGAAACTTCTTCCATTCCTCTGTCATGGAATCAAAATACAAAAGTCCAGCACGTCTTTGTACCCCTTTTTCCTGCTGAGCACAGTGCTGACTTTAATCTAGGTGTCTGCCTTTGCTTTGTTTGCTTAACTCGGAGGTTATTTGTTCCTCTTTCATCTTCCCTCCTTGCCAGAATGTTTGTTTAGATTTAGTGAAAAGTTTTGCTGCGCATCCAAGGACTGCCTGTGAGCAAGGAGAGTTCTTAAGTGGTTGCATAAAGTTTCATCAGCCCTCGGATTGCTGTCCTGGACTCTTTGCTTTGAAAACAGATCCTTCCTGTTCAGGCAGTTGCTGCAGACACTGGCCGACAGGCAGTCCCATGCAGCTGCTGATCATGCATGTAATCCCTGTTGCCTGTTGTACCATGTTTCCCAAATTCCATCTGGCTTTCAGGGCAGGGATACAGGTAACACCCGTGTCCAGGGAGCGTTTGGAAGACACAGCTGAGGTGGTTCCTGTTCTCCCATCTGTGGGAGCTGCCCTGCCTCGCTGGAGAGATGGGGCCATGATGAGAGTCTTTCCCTGTTCTTTGTTGCAGTTTTTCTCCGGACCTCGCCTTGGACTCTCCTGGCACTGACCACTTTGTTATCATTGCCCAGCTGAAGGAGGAGGTGGCTACTTTAAAAAAGATGCTGCACCAGAAAGATCAGATGATTTTGGAAAAGGAGAAGAAGGTACAACCCTTGGCTTGCTTCCCCCTTCCTAGCGTGCTGACATGTTCACACAGATCGCGCTCCAGCGGAGTCTGGCTTTGTGTCTGGGAAGGAGCAAGAGTTCCTGACTGTTTCCAGGCTGCCTCCTTTCTAAAGTCAAAGAGGACCCACCCAGGAGATCTCGTTTTGCAAAGGGTCATTTGCTGACCACTGCCTCAGAGACCTCCTTGTGGGGGAAAGACTGAGAAAAAAACAAACCGTGCTGCTCCCCGCAGAAAGACAGTCCTGGCCACTCCTGCTCCTCCGTGCTGCTCGGTGACACGGTTCTGGCCTCGTTGGTCTCCCCCAGCCCACCGCAGCACGTTTCTGAACTCCTCCAGTCTCACAGAACCTCTGCAGAGATGTTTTCTGTGGCAGGGTGCATCTGGGGTGAAGGCGTTTGTTTCTTCTTCCAGCTCACTTGGCTCCTTACTGCTTTATCTGCAGATCACAGAGCTGAAAGCCGACCTGCAGTACCAGGAGTCGCAGATGAGGGCAAAGATGAACCAAATGGAGAAGACGCACAAGGAGGTCATGGAGCAGTTACAGGTGACAGCATTTTTGTTTAAATTTGCTGAGCTGTGCTATATCCAGGAGCGACCGAGGACACTTGTGTTCACAACGTCCCGTGAGCTTCTGCACAGGCAGCTCTGCTGACACTCCTCAGCCCTGGCCTACAGCCCCTCCTCAGCTCTATATCAGGCATCACAACCCCTTTATATCCTCCCTGCTGCTCTCTGCTTGGCCTCAGACTCACTGTGTCATCAAGTGCTGCGTTGTGGCCCCTATGGACTGGACAGGAACAATCAAACACATTTTACCTGTTGCCAAAATCAGGTTTGAACCTGTTTCTCCAAACTGCAGAGCCTTTGTCAGCTCCCACGTAGCTCTTGACGTGATTTATGTGACCAGTAACCAGAGAGAACAAAGCTCGAGGAACAATCAGCAGTTCCTTTAGTGCTGTATCTCTTGTCGGCCAAATAAACAAGTCCCTGAGCTCAAGGCAACAGGGAGAGCAGGATTCTTGTCGTGGTGGTGGAAACGCTCAGCGTGAATGTGCTCTGAGCCACTGAAGAGATTGGGTCAGAGAGGAGCTGGTTACAGGGAAGAAATCAGACACAGAAACGAACTTTGCACCATTTAATTACTCTGGGGTATGTCATGATCTAAAGCCCTGGTGAGGAGAAATGGGAGGAGATAAGACAGAAGGCTTGTGTTCCCCCTGAGAAAGCAGCCCCTCCTCCGGCAGCGCACGCCCAAGGTGATTATGAGAGTGGAAGACGGGTTTTGGAGACTGCAGCTGCCGTGAGAAAGCCAGGGCCTGTGAGTTCCCCTTCGTGAAGCAGCTTCTTAAGCGCTGTTTGGCCTGATGGTTAGAGTATGTGATGTGTGTGATTTGGGTTTGAGGGATCGATGACAGCCAGAACCTTTCTGTCTCTGCTCTGCTTTACTCATCCTGCGCTGCCTGTCTCAGCCCGGAGCCGTTCCTCTCTCGTAGATTTGGGTGGCCTGCAAAGAACGAGTCGGTGTCCTTACTCCAGTTCTGAACAGACACCTTTCCATCAGCACAAACCCCTCTTTGGTTGCCTCGACAGCCACGAGGTCAGGGGCTGAGCGGGCGATGACCCTCCCTGCTCCTCCTGGCAGCGGTTTCCCCAGGCAGGGCACGCTGCTCCCTGGGTGTGCGTGGGAACAGGATACCCCGCAGCCGTAGCTCAGGGAGGAACATCTGCCCTGAAAGCTGTCGGACACCTTCCCACAGCCTTAAACTTGCTCAATTCTGAAATGAAAGAGGAAGCATCAGATCCACGAGCAGGTTTGCCCGCAGCCACCTTGCCTCCTGGGTGGAGAGGGGTTTGCGTGTCGGTGCTGTTCAGGACTTAGCTGGGACTGCCCTGACCTCCTCCTCTGGTGAGCGAATGTTTTAATTCAGTTGATATTGACCAAGGTTCTGGAAACTTCCTTTTGTGATGCCAAAATCAAAGTTCGCACCCTCTCGATGTATTGTAGGTGCCTTGAAGTGTTCATATTGTTGCGATTTACAAAGGGAAGGTCGC